ATAATCCATATTTTGGTGCATGCGTACTTTTTCGGAAAAAGAGATATAAACGGTCAAAATAAGCAAAGTAAAAATTAAATTGAAGTCAAAATCAAAGTTAAAATCATAGTACAAATTAAAAATCGGGGGAAAAATATTTTTAATTTTTGGCAAGTCTTTGAACGCGTGCGCTGTTATACCTGAAGTCCAAGAAATATGGATTATGCCAGAGCCCTCGTTCTTCAACCCAGGCCAGAAGAAACGCAGGCTCTGGGTACGAGATTGATTGGTTAGCTTCTGTCAGAAGTTAAATAATAAATTAAACACGGAATGCTATTCTAGGGTTACGTCTACGAGAATTCGGATGTTTTCGAACATGAATTTTTTTTCTATACAGATTGGCAGATTGGCCTTGAAAACGCAACTTTTCGAAAACGGAAACGCGTGGACACGGGCGAAAACGATTTCAAAACGCTACTTGTGGACAAGATTTCAAAAATATCTGGATACGTTTGGACGAGGCCTAAGATTAGGAAACACATCGAACTGATCAGAGAAAAAATATTAATCATTTAGAATCGAGGGAATTCGTAAAACTGAAGTGGCACTTTCACTCTTGAAATTATTAATTTCCAGGCCACCAAAAAAAAAAGACGTTGCTAATAAGAGTTGAGAACAGTAACACAATTACTAATGGGTTTCATATTCTTATTGCACCTTAGTTTTCAGTGACGTCATTACTATGCCACTATTTCAGATCAACTCAGTTCTGGGAACAGCATAGCATACGCGGGGATATTGCACTGTGTGTAAATTCTTGTGCGAGGGAAATGGAGCTCTCAAGGAAAAATAGGTACCAAAACATAATGGGTTGTCACGTAAACCAGTCGCAAAAGACATGGCAAGATATCGTATTGCAAATCCTATCTTTTATATGATGCTTTCTTCGTTATAGTTGTTGATTCCTATACCCAAAACTCGTGCCGCCTAACTTCATGCCCTGGCAAATGGATGCATGTGCAGCCATGGGAAACAAGGTCAAATCCCGCAATACCGCATATGCGAAGTTGCGAAAAATAGCCAATGAAAAGCTGCAATTTTTCTTTAAAATAAATAGATATGAATAATATATGACGAATATTATACCTGGTTGGTATTGTAGACCACGTACTCTGAAAGACAAAAGAAGTTAGGAATAAGAACCAGAAAGTTAAAAAAAGCGGAGTTATCAGTAGAAAACGGGCGCGCGTGATGTGCGTAGTTCTAAAGCACGAGGGGTTTGGCAGAACATGAGAGATGTTTTAGGAGAAGCACGACGCAGAGTGTTTTTCACGGCAAGCAACATTTTTGTTTCTTATATAAAATAGAAATTGCAATAATTGTTTTATTGTATACAAATGAAGCAATAGCAAGTGTGCGCGCGTGCTGTGTGCTCTCATAAAGCACACTCACCCAACCAATCAGAACGCTAGATTCGTAACAGTCATTTGATAATAGCCTATAATATTGTAGTGGTAGTACCGGGTGTGGAGAAAGCTCACAGAAGACCCCTTAAGGAGAGTGATTGATCAGCGCTAACTAGTTTTTCTCATAATAGGCGCGTTGACCACGTCAAAATAATAATAGTGTTACACCAATACATAGAGACATTCTGATAGCGCATTAACGCTAATGTCAAAAGTCTGGGGTATCATTAGCATCACTACTTACCGTTATAGTTGAGAGTGTATCCATTAGGGTTGACGATATCAGTGTCTATGCCCTTACCAAGTGGTACTATCAAACCATCAGGCCTATAGAATGATTAAGGATATTAAGATACGCCTCACGCTCTTGATAAACCTATTAGTAAGCAATAAGACCCCAAATGTGCTGCGACTAGACTGAAGACCTACCTGCCAAGCTCAGATATAACTTACTGACAACAACCACCATCAAGAATCCCTTGATCCCACCATTAAACAAATGACATTTAACCTTAATTACCTACCCTCCTAACAAAAATGAATTGACAACCTAATCACCCACACCCTATACTGCTAGACTACCACTAATCTATATGACAGGACATCTTACTGACAATCTACCAACAATACTGTTTAACTAGTTTAGAGCCAGACCCATAAACTAATTCATCTCTCAAAAAAAAAAAAACAGTGTGCACAAGAGTTGTTCTTGCCATGTGTATTGATAAGGGGGTTCAGCTCTTTATTAGCTACCATTGTAGTGAGGCCCCTCCCAAAGGGTTTGACTTACTAAACCTGTGGAGATGGCAGGTAACTCCAAAGATGAACACCTAAGCATGTGTATTGCCAGGTAAGTGGTACATTGCCCCTCCCCCCATAATGAAGACCTTACTACTGTACGTGCTATATGTGGCTACCATTCAACCTGTGACCTGCTGTCAACCCTACCAAAATGCAATTCATTTTCAATAAAACAATTACTGTTAATAGTGAGTAGAAACATGTTATCTTGTAACAATACCTGGTAGTGGTTTCCACAGGGTCTGGTGCTACCTTACCCAAAGCCTTGACGCTATGGCAACCATCTGGTAGCTGATCAGCATTGTAGTTAGCAGCCAATAGTTCATTACTCTTACCAAGGGAAACCTAAAAAAATGGCAGATCAGTATTGAAATCAAATGCCACTGGATTCTTGTTATCAGGAAAAGATTGGTTGTTATGGTTAAGTTTTCCAAATTGTTTTTTTTTTCACTGTTAGGGTGTACACCTGTGTCTCTTATCAATGTGTTCTTCAAGCACAGGGCCAATGCTCGGCTGAAGCTCACATGTCATTTGAGTTTGTTTGAAGTGAACAGTGTTCTCTCTGCCCTGAGTTCCAGAGGCTCCCTGTGACTGAGAAGCACTGGAGTGAGAGAGCCTTTGGATACCAGGATATTCTCCCTATTACCAGGTTTTTTTTTTCTGGGTACTCTTCTTTTTAGACCAAAATTATTTGTTTGTAGTGACCGTCTTGACAGTGACATTGAATTAATAATTCACTTTACTTGATAATTTTGCTGTGTCGACACTGAAACGTTGCGCTGCTGACGGTTTTTATTTTATTATATTATACTCTTGTATTTCTACCTCCAAAATAGGTGAGTTGAGTGTCGCAAATTTTGAACATAAAGCTACATTGTAATGCATGTGGAGCGAGCCTAATAAAAAAAAACCTTCGCTGGGAAACGTAAAAAATAAATGTTCTTAAGACTGAGGGTTTTTAAACAATCTTTGCATCTTACCTCACTGAGGAGTAAGATCCCAGAGTTCTTGGATCTTGTAGCAAAACAATAGTTGGCACTCTTGGAAGACATGTCAGCAAAGTAAATTCCTTTGCCAAACTAGAAAGAAAGAAAGTTGACTTCAGGGACAATATAACTATAATAGCAAAGAATGTGACCTCAAAATCGGTGTGGGTAGGTCATTGGTACATTATTGGAGGGTTCTTCTCACTCTTGTAAGATTGTCAGTCAATTTGCTCCTTTTTTTGTAGTAGTACAGGAAGCTTGCTCTAAACTAAAGCAGTACGGAGGAAAACAATGCTGTAAAAGATACTATAGGTAAATAGAGTCCATATAAATGAAATACATTCCACCATAAAAGTAAGCTGCAGTTTTACCATGTATCCAGTGACAGGTGCTTCAGGAGGTGCAATCCTGAGCCCTTGACTCAAGATGCCAGCCCAGTTAGTCAGCCTTGAGCCATGCCACAGCAACATCCTGCAGAACAAGAAGGATACCGTCTTGTGTTCTTGATGATGATAGTGATGGTGATATTGTTGCTAATAACTTTTTTAAACTCAAATGAAATCACAAAATGTTTGGGCTCCTAACTTACAGTATTAAACACAAATAGCAGTATTTGAATGTGACAACTCATTCTTTACCTGTTACCAACATCTCTAAAGCTTTCTTTCTGGTGCTTTACGTCAAAGACATCCACCACCTCCATAGTATACTGGTTGTGGGTCTTAGCATGGGTGTTTAATAAGTATTGCTTAACCATCTAATATGGAATAGAAGTTTAGAGAAAATTTAGGACAAATGGGAATTGGATTATCGATGTGGTCATCCATGTGGGAAGTATGGAAGGTGTAGCGTTAAGAGCTCTCTCCTCTCACCAATGCAACAGGGGTTCGATCCCTGGACTCATTGTACAAGAGTAGAACTGCTTGTTTATTTTCTCCTATGCTTTGAGGGTTTTTCTCCAGGTTCTCAGGTTTCCCTCCCTCTGCAAAATTAACTTCTAAATCTTAATTCAATCTAAAAGGATGTAGACGAAAATTACTATGCGTAATTCTAATAACCCTTTTATAAATTTTTTTCTCTGTCTTACGTCACTATATGAGACAGGACCACCTTCATCATTTAAGCAACTAAGAAGGTCTAATCATTTACAGATATTTTTGATATTTTAGAGCACGAGCTCCTAACCTTTATAAATGTAATTTATTATTTTATTATTAACCTCCTATGAAGATAGCTTAAGAACCTGACTGTTTGTCTTTCCGAGGCTTGAACCCATAGCCTCCTATACAACAGACCTACAGTATACTCAACCAACTGAGCCAACCAGTTTACAGTTTGTTATTCATACCTTAAAGTCATCATRGTCGTGGTCTAGAGGTGTTAGATCACAGTGTAGTGACTTGTAGTGCCGATCCACTGGGTGTTCATTGTTGACCAATTCCTCTTTCAACATGGTGACAGCTATTTGGATATCACCAAGAGCCTTGAAGATAAAAGACATCAAACCATCACTGAACAAACTTAACGACTACCTAGGCTTGTATTAGTATTGTCTAATAGCTAGTAATAGTTCAACTCCTCTCTCATCATGGTAACCACTAATGTATTTTATTTAAAAGAAATAGTAGGAATGTTCAACTAACCTCAAGCAGTTGCATTTTTACTTTCACCTCCTCTTTGGTTGCAATAAGTGGCGGTCTCTTCATTCTAGAACAAAAAAAAAAGCAATAAAAAAAATGTTTTAAAAAAAAATAGAAAAAAAAAAGTTAAAAAAAGTAAAAAAAAAAGGGTTATAGGACAATAAAGTGGTTCTAATTCTCCATTTCACAGTTCCGTTCAGTGACCACAAATAATAGTTCTAAGCCGAGGCTGGAGTTGCTGCACATGATAAGCAGTAGATTTGCTATGCACGGAAACTCCAATCTCGACATGAAACTATCATTTGTGGTCAATGAACGGAACTGTAAAATAGAGTATTCTCTTACCCAAAACTGTGAGGAATCCTTGTGTAGAACTCATTGCATGCTTTAACAAGCTTCTGCCCAAAGTTGTTATCATTGATACAGGTGTCAATGTTTTTGAGAGCTTCATATCCTGCTTTGATCTGCTCTGTTGTCAGCTTGCCTGAGGAAGTTTAAATACAGCATCGAAAAACTGAATTACACTTAATAAATAAATGGATACAAGCAATATTGAAATAAGGTTGAAGATGTGAGTTTGAGTGCAAACAATTAATCCGTGAAACACTAATTACTAAATAGTACAAAATAGTGCTAATTAAACAATAGAAAACAATGGAATTTGCATAAAATTGTGCTATTTAGTATTACTAACATTTCACGGTTATATTGTTTGCATTCTAGCTGCCATATTATTGGTTTTCAAGACCAGCACTTTTTGCTACTAAATGTCTATCACTAAAAGCCCACTAGTAGCCCAGCCAATCAGAGCACAGGGCTCGTGATAGACCATTAGTAGGTTTAAATTAAAAATAGTCAGATTTCCAAGTGGCTCATATGCCCACTTTAAATGGAGGTCCTGTCTCTACAAACAGCAATGAATCATGTGTGAGGATTGATAAGAATATCAGAAAAATATGATGACGAAAGTTCAGTGATGTCTTTACCTAGAGGTGCCTTGTTCACATCATACTTCATTTCTTTCAACATCTCCTCCATGGCTTGTACATTACATATCAGCTCTATCAAATTTTGTACTCTTGAATCGAGCTTGCTTGGTTCTATAGCAGGCTTCTCTTCCTTAGCTTTAGGGGCATCCACTTCATCCCCATTTGCTTTATAATCCATGATCAACAAGTCATATTTACCACTCACTTTCTCAAAACAATCCCTGTCTTCCCAGTCATTCTTGGTTTTGTCGCTGAATTTTTTCTCGAATATTTTCTTTGCTTGTTCCAGATTTGCCCCGCAGGTCTCTAGGTTGTTCTGACCGGCAAATCCAACTAAGGACAATGGAAAAATTGATCAATGAAACTAATTTCTCAAGTCTGTAAATGTATGATATGGTATCAATCAACTTAGTCTGTACCAGCCTTCAGTGAAGGCCTCTAGTCACAATCATCCATGTTTCTATCAATACTTTCCATTCAGCTGTTAATAGTTCATATAAACTCTTATAAACTTCCTACAAATTATCTGACCCTCCCCCCCCCCCAAAAAACCCAACAATAAACAAACCCACAAACACACAAGACAGCTTCCAAAAAATAAACCAACCGTGAAGGCACTTCTTAAAAACATTACAGCCCCACCCATTTGACTCTCCACCTAACCACACCTCCCCTACCCTACCACAATCATGCCAACTAACAATACTACCATTTCGAGTTCGCCTTTGCTCAGTCTTAGCATCGATTGTGTACAAATGTGTTCTCTTCTTTCATTAAGGTCCATCGTATAGTAAGGAACGTACGTACTATGGTACAATACATGTTGATTAAAATGTCACAGGTTTTGGTTGAATAGCTGAATATCATAAACACAAACGCACAAACGACAGGCTAGACTGAGCAAAGAGAACTCAAAACTGGAGTATTGCATCACTAAGTAAAGCTTTGTTGGCTAGTCTTCAGTAAAGTAATAGTCTTCCCATATCTACTATGTATACTGTACCTCTTCCCCATCTCATCCAGACATAGTATTTCTTTGAAACATTGTCCTCAAGTAACTGGATTAGGTAATACTTGTTGTTATTGTTCTGGACATTGGTCTGGAAGAATACCATTTACAGTTAGTATACAATTGAATCTAAACAGATGACCTCTTTCGATATGACAACATAAGAGCAGATAAATTTACATGTAGACATTTTCTAATGAATATAGATGTACCACTTCTGGGTGGACTGCACGATGCCTAACAGGTTTTGCAACCCAAGTGATAAGGCAGCTGATAGATCAAATTAGAATTTAGAAGTCGGTTTTTGTGGAAGAAGGAAAAACCGAAAAACCAAGAGGAAAACCCTCAAAGCACAAGAGAGGACCAACAAACAACTCTACCTACATATGACACCGTGCCTGGCAGAACTTGAACCTGGGTCAGATTAGTGAGAGGCTGCACATTAGCAGCATACACCACCCATGCTTCCCATAAAAATTTTAATCATCAGCCTTAGTCTTTTTGGAAATGACCTCTTTAGCTTGAGCAAAAAGTTTTCTCATTTCTGCCCATATGTTATTTTCTTGAGGATAAGATTCTTTGTTTGAGTTATATCCATATTTATTTCTTCTCATTCACAACTATTAAACAAAGAAATGATACTCAAGGGAATGACATGTGGACTGAGATGAAAACATTACACCCTGCATAAAACCTTATTAATTCTCTATAAAACCTCTATAAAACCTTGTTAATTTTAGTAATCCTTACCTGGTTAAGCATAGTGTCCCATATACATGATCCTTCATCAAAGACATGAGTCTGTTGAAAGACAAATGGTTATCAACAATTGAATAAAATTCACAGAAAGTTATCCTTTACAGATTTTGCTGTTAAAAGCAAATGGACCTTTATTATGTGGTAGCCATGACTGCAACTGATTTTTTTCTGTGTGGTCTCACTTTCAAGCACTTTAGGATGAGGTTATGAGGAGTTAGACAAAGGTTCTAATTCTCACAGGAATAAACAAGGTGCCATGTGATCAAGGTAATATGACTTTAATAGTCCCCTTCACAGTTCCCTGCGCCATCTTGAAAGGTAGCCATGCCTTTGCATCGACGCAAGACGAACAGTGAGCTTGCAATGATAGAGACAGGTGAATAATATTGTTCAAGGTGTTAAAAAAGGTCTCTATTATTACAAGCTTACCGTTCATCTCGCTTTGATGCAAAGGCATGGCTACCTTTCAAGATAGCGCAGGGAACTGTGAAGGGGTCTATTGATATAATTCAGGATTACAAGCTATTTATCCATGTAAAATGTCTCTCAAAGCTTTCAAGAAACAAGTGAGTAGGTAATGTATGTAAAGAAACTAGACTGTCAGTTGCTGCAAGCCAGCAGCAAGCATTACCTTATCCTTTATAGGGCAATATGTATCAACTGGAGCTTTCCCAGTGAACACCAAAGATTTCATTTTTGTAGGTTCTTTCTCTTCATCTACAGCAGCAACAGCAGTCACAGTCTCTTTCTTTACTTTCTTTGACTGAGGAGGTTCTGCTTTCACCTTAGAAGCATCAGCAGGCTTTGTTTTTGCAGTGCTGGTAGAAGTGTTTTGAACTGGAGGGGGATCTGTACATAATCAACATATGAATATCAAGACTGTAAATAAATTCTGGTATTGGACAAAATGTCCAGTAAAAATGACCCTTTGAAAAAGGTAATAATTCCCCTTGGCTGGATATTTTGACCAGCAAAATTTGGGTTTTGACAGGTCAAGTATAACCTTGTTAACAAAAAAAATTCACCTTTGGAATATAATAAATTGCAGTTATATCAAACAAATATACAGCAAATTGCCTCAAATTATTAGATAAGGCAATCTTCTGGGACAAGGACGTAAAACCGTAGACCCTGTCTCCCAACCCTTCCTAACCTACAGTAAATGGGGGACATAAAAGAACCATTGAGGACGTAAAAGAAACCCTGGCATTAATCACCCTCAGTGCCTCTACTTCATACTAACCTTCTCTCATGTTTATAAATTGCATTAAAAAAAAGCAATCTGTCATTCACAATTGCATGTAAAGCGCCTTTGATTATATTGACATGTATTGTAAAGGGTGCTATATAAATCATAATCATCATCATCATCATAAGCAAGAGCCATAAAACATTCTTATTATACCTGCCAAATCTGCTTTAATTCTCCTTATTTTCTTGCTTGTTTTGTTTCCAGATTTTGACTGAGTACACTTATTCAGATCTACTGATATTTGTTTTCCCTGATCATTCCATGATACACTTGGCATCCCATGTGCTTTCGCTGCTTCTAGTAGGAATATGGTGCATTGTGGGTAGGTGGTCCATTTATCCTTGCCTTCATTCAACTGCCACACATCTAGAGCACACAGGTTTGTTATAATTGATATTTACAGAATGTCATTTAAAAATAGCTCACTTTTTGTATTAGACATACTGTATATTATCGTATTTGATATTTTTTGACCTCAAAAGCAAGCTTTTCAAAAAACAATTTCTGTGCTGATCCAAGTCAGGGTAATCTTAACTTATGGATCAGAAAGGAAATTAATAAGTTTAGTTTTGCAGAGGGCCAGGGGGAAACCAAGAGAAACTAAAATGTAGTGCCAAACCAGGAATTGAATACCATGAAAATCTAGAAGAGAGGGAGAATGCATTCTACCTTGATTTCAAAACAGTTTTGAGGAAGTGACATATCTACTCTATTATTGACTCAATTCCTATTCAACAGGACTAAAAATAATGGCAGCTCAATGTCTAGACATTATGTCCATCCACATTGGACTGATCAACAAAATTGCATGGTCTAACTAGCAAAAGGCTGAGTGAGTTTGCTGGACAACTGACAATTTTGGCCATACATATTGTTTGTTGAGATGCTGTTTTTTTTTTAGTCCTGCAAAATGATAATCTGTTTGTCGATTCTTTCACAAAAAAATGGAAAATTATCTGAACCTTACATTCGTTATTATTGTCATCTGGAGACAAACATCTCAGTCTTTTCTCAAAGCCTGTCTTGGCATTTCTTTGCACCATTTGTTCAAAGTTTACAACCACAGTAGATTTGCCTTGAATAATCTCAACAGTAGGTTTGCCATCCTTTAGAGCTTCTGATATTTCTTTATTCTGTTCATCTGGATATTTTGACCACTTATTCTTGCCTGCTTGATACTCCCATTGAGGTGGATCTACACAGCCAGTGCTAGTTGATGTGTCTGAATCTTTCTTGAGTTTTTTGGTTGGAGATTTAGGTAGTTCAGCAGCTGGGATCGCTAGTCAATGATACGTACGAGTTAAAAGTCTGATTGTTTATTACATTGTTGGGTGGTTGGTGGATTTGCAGGGGAAGGGGGGTTTGATTTTTAAAATCAGTTGAAATTGGGATGTACACATTTGTTTTGTAATTGCAAAATATGGGGGGTACAGTTTTGTGTTCTTCATGCAATACTACTGACTTTTAATTTGAGCTACTGAGCATAACATTCTGTAAATGATGATGAAGGGCAGTATATTTTTTATTGAAAGATATTGAAGAGTGGTACAATTTTCTACACAAATTCACCGCACCCCTACTACGTAATAAATGATCTGTCCCTAAGGTTCATATTTTGTCTGAATCAAGATAAAGCTGTCGAGATAAAGCTGTTTTTATATAACTGTTAATAGCTCAGTGCTGTATGCGTGCAATGCCATGACATTTTCTAAAATTTTGATTGGCTGATTTTTCCTCACATAATATGATTGGTCTAGCAGTGCCTTGACTGCGTCAGTGTTACCGCTAYCTGATTGCATGGGGGGTATATTCACATGTGCAAGGTGATTGTTCTGGTCGTGTCAATCTAATAGGTCACTGGCATTATAGCATCATTTACTACCACTACCAAACTCCCTTGCACACTTTCTATTTTTGGTTAATTAGCACCACTTGCCTTACTATTCTCATGAGGAAATACAAATTTGAATAAGAAAGAAAATTCGCGAAGCATTTTGGTAGTGGTAGGAAAATGACGCCATCATGCAAACTGCATATTGCAATTAAAGTTAAAAAACATTTCGCATTCTTTGATTTCAGCAAAATATTCTATAAGGTTAAAGGTAGTTAGTCAGCAAAATATCAAGCTCTTTCCTTTTCTTTTCAAGATATATGTAGTCAACGATTTTTTCAGACTGTTTTCAGCGTTATCTACACTCATTCATAAAATTCATTTTAAAATGTTTTCAAAACATTAAGCTTTCTCGTGTAAGCTGAAAGCTTAAAGTAGTTTTTCAAAGCTTTATCCGGCCACATTTCACGATTATGTGCTATGCACTTACCAGCTTTTCGTCTTCGTGTAGTCGACATTAAAGCTCCCTTTTATAGTGATATTTCTGTGGAAAATTCTTCAAATAAGACGAAAAATTGAAGGAAACCTTTGACTCAACGTCTCGCTGAAGATCTRCCGCGCTATTGGCGGGAAAACAACTAGATCCAGTCTACTCCTATACTTGCAACCACAGGCAACCCACAAGTATGGCAACATCTACTACGACTACCAGGATTCCTTACAAACTTTCTTTTGTTTAGTTCATTAACACTAATTATTTTTTGCAGGAAGAAATAAACATTTAAATGAGAAAGAAATCTTATAAAGTAATCTAGTAGCAGTAGTAAAATGGGAAGGGATTTGGGAATTTTTTAAAAGAAAACCCATGTCAGTGCCTCTATAATTGTATTTCTTTAGTTTCTACTGATGGACACCATTCAACAATTCTATGTGTGTTTGTACTTTTATATCTATACCTCTACTGGTCAGTGCATTTATCTATAAGCATTATTTGATTCTATTTAAATTAATGCTGCAACAGTTGTTGTCTAAATTGCATCTCATTTCCAGTATCCATAATATCTGCTATTGTGTGACATATTGCAAAGAAACTATTAACTAAAGTGAAATTAGCAAATCGAGGCCCATTTTCTAATTGAACTCTTATTGAACATGTGATGGCTCCAGCACGATCCAAACTCAAGTGGAACCAAGAGCACAGTGAGTGGTTTCACTGCAAAGTTTGGATCATATGCCAATGCCATTCCATGTTCTATAAGAGTAGACCATAGGAAATGGACCTCGATTTGTTTTTTTTGTTTTACCACAAACAAATTCACTATAACACACATTTTTTTGCTCATTGACCTTAGCTTATTGGTCTGTTCTCTTGTCAATCATAAAAAAATAGCCAACAGTGCACAAGAAATATACAATTTGTCGGTGGTAAAATAGGACCATTAAAAAGTATTCAAACAATCTTCAAACAAGGTATTTGTCTTTGTGTTATTTTATTGTTCATCTTGTTGAATGCTCACTTAGCATGAAGGGTAGTTTCTGGTTTCAAGAACACTTGGTAATGTTATTCTTCCGAGATGTGTACAGTATATGTTGAATGTTTAGCATCAATGGTAGTTGCATGCTCTGAYTGGAATTACTAACCTATAAAGAAACAAAAACATCAAAGGATGTCCATGATTTTAAAGAGACAACAATAWTTATAGTCTCCTATGCAGCAGCTTTTAGTGTCATCACACAACACTCGCTCCCCTAAGTAGCTACTTAGGGGTGTGAGCGTTGCGTGACGACACTAATATCGGCTGCATAGGAGACTACCATAATTAATGCATTTTCAGAAATTATCATCACTTGAGTAAATTTAAATTTTCAAGGAGTAGGGATGGCTTTAGGAGTGTTTATACTATTTTAGAGCCGAGTAGGGCATTGAATTAAACTTTTCCTATACAAGAGGCATGGATATTTTCTAGAAAGTCCTGGCCAGGAAACGATAATGAAAAAAGTCTGAATTGCTAGAGTTCCAGTAGTCTTCTTTTTAATGGTACCTTCTATTTTGTCGATATCAACTTCTTGAACCTGTAGAAAAGCAATAAGAAAGCATGAAACTGTCCTTAAATATCAAACCAACAGTAAAGAAAATGTTACAAAAAAGGTTTCTTCTGTGATGATTCCCTGATGGGGGATTCATYGATCATCTGTCTGACAGAAGGGCATTCAGAATCTGCATTATTTATTATAATAGACCCCTTGCATGTGACGTCAAAGCAGCTCAATTTGGAGGACAAAACAAAACAAAAMAAAWTCAATCTACTGAGAATTGGAAACCTATTGTTATGTCCTCTAAATTGAGCTGCATTCCGACATGCTGCAAGCAGTCTATGGTCAATAATCTGTAAATATCATGCCTTTGAATCAAGAGCAAGCTAGTAATCAGGCAATTTATTCTAGCTTCAGGTTACCAGTGGATCAGCAGCTAACCAGTGGATCTACTCCAATTCATTCTGCTCCTCCATGATCCATTCAGGTGATGTAAACCAAAAAGTAAGACAGGAAAAAAAGATTGTCAACCACTTGGGATAGTTCTTGTTGTCTTTCCAATTACAGATTGATGCTATTTTTATAAACATATGAACTCAGTAGTTGCAATATGCCTGCTGGAATATRGTTTTTCACTGCCGCCAGTCAAAAATATGAAAGGTACCCACTGATTAGTTTTGATTGATGGCAGCCAAAAACCAAATTTTAGAGCTACAGAGTTTGCATGTTTATGAAAATAGCAGTAATGAGAAAATTCATTTTYTTGAATGGATTCCGAATCAAAATGAAATCCATCATTACTACCAACACAGGCGTGGATTTGACTCGTTGCAAAACACTTGTTTTACTTCACATTCGTAATGTCTCGTTCACACATTCCTGAGCCCGGGGCGGTTAATTAAGCTTTGAACTTTGAGGCTGCGGTCAGTAACCGTCAAATTTGAATCTTAACATCAAAGTTAAATTGTCTCTCTGGGCTGAGGAATGTATGCATGGGGCTTTAGGAATGTAGAGTAAGACAAGTGCTTTTTTACGAGTCAAATCCATGCTCTACCTGTTTTGGTAGTACTATGACTACTACTAAGGAATACAATTAGATTGCAAGCCATATATTACCCTATGGTTGCCATGGATATAAGAACTTTATTGAGAAGTCACACAACATCAGCACAAGTGTCACACTATCCTGTCAAGAGAAAAACTGCCAATGGTCACAACAGCCTTACATTATGAACAGAGATTTCTCTTAATATTGTCTTTGAAGTACTAATCCTACTACATGATCAAAAAAATTCTCGTTCTTATTTGAAAATATAATAACAACATTGTTTGTCGAGGACCATTTGTTGGTTTGAGTAAAAAAAATAAGTAAAAGTTGTTTGTTCCAGAAGATGTTCAGTCCTTCCTCAATGAAGGGAAGTACAATTTCCAAGGAAGTGAATCAGGGAGGTTGTTTTCTTTATAAAACTTCCAGCAAGGTGTAGAGGGGGGGGGGAGGTGGGGATAGCATTTACTCCTTCATCTTAAGGTATCAATATCTTCTGGAACTATATGACACATTAAAACTTAAAATCCGGGGTTATCTCCATAATGAGGTACAAACAAGAAGAGGAGTCCGACGTTCGAGAGTTTACACTGAAACCTCCTCAAGAAAGCATGGCTTATACCRATCACTAATGTTAATACTGATTCCTTTGATCAGCTGTATACATGCATAATTATAAGAAATACTGTTGTTATAATTTTCAATATTTTTAAATACTTTTAAGATGCTTATAGTGAAGAATATGAATTTGATGGAAAAAGAATTACCGATCAAACTAAACATACTATTTATAAATCATGAGAAAAAGAAAACAAGATACAACAACCATAAAACAATTTACACATTAAAAAGTGCAAACAATGCAAGGYATATATACTGATATGCCACCCCATATGCTTTTGTTAGTCTCAGGGTGTAAAAAAARTCAAGTATTTATCAAAATTTATCCATTATTTACATGGTGAAAATATCACATTTTAGTTACTAGCAGAAGTAGAATATGCATAATATGTCTTTGTCCAATGTTTTTGTTAAATCTYGTTCCTTATTTTATCAAAGGCTCCGAAGTCTTTTGCACTCATTTTTAAGACTCCAACAAAATATGTTTTTAATTAATTCCAGAAAGAGATCAAAGCTTTTCTGRTCATTTCGAGATAATCAGGCGTTATACCTGTACAATATTTATCAACCCTAAGTTACAGATTGATTCATTGCCAGGCGATCTTCCTCAAGATAGAAGGTGATGTATGCTTTGATGAATAGATTCAAGATGTAACAATCTAAGAAAAAGTGTCATCAGTGATTAGTGACCATGCTTCATGACAAACTTATAATTTATAAACAAAACTTAAAAAAAACTATTACATTTGTAGGCTTATGCAGCTTTTAGACTATACCTTGCACCACTGCCCTGAAAAGCATGCCGCAGGAATAACTAGAATAAATTAACAACTTTTCCATAATGCTGTTGATGCTGGCATCAGTATCCTTTGTGGCACTGATTTTGGCTCAAAGGCAAATTTAAAGACCACAAAAAGTGATAAAATGCAAGCAAACTCAGATAATAAAACGCTAAACAAATCACTGTTAACAATTTGATACCAGGTGTCATTCCCTTGAGTATTATTGCTTYGCAATATCATCAATGCTTGAGAAGATATATCACGTGGCAAAGACAGATTTGGGATGGGTTGGTTTAGGTGRTTGCAAACAAAAAAAATATTTTGTAATTGTTGTTGGAATAAAATATTTCTTCTTCGCAAGAAATAATAGAAAATACTTGGAAATTTTTGCTGTGATAAACAATGCATTGCATAATTTTAGATTCCATAACTGTTATAAATCTCACATTCAACTGGTGAGATGCAAACAAAGAAACAGTCTTGTTCTCAAGTGAATGACACATGGTCTGAAATAGCAAAACACCGATGGCTATTGTGAACAATCCGCACTGTACAGTAAGGTGTTGGTAAGTGGTTGGTAAGGTGTCAGTAAGGTGTTGGTAAGGTGTCAGTAAGGTGTTGGTAAGTGGTTGGTAAGTGGTCGGTAAGGTGTCGGTTGTTGGTCAGCCAACCACTTACAGACACYTTACTGTATGGTGCAGATTGTTCACAATAGCCAACACTGATTAGGTCTACTGCATGGCAACCGGTAGTACTACTGTTTCTAGTAAAAATACATACATATACAATTACATGTAATCATGAATAGTTCACGAGAACATTTTATAAAGCATGCCTGATATGAATGTTACTGTCATTGTGTCAATGTGTCCACTCAACTTGATCGCTTTAGTTTAGATTTTCTCTGTGATGAAGGGATGAGTAAGAGCTTCATTCAAGGACATTCGCTTGGCTGGATCCAACATCAGAATCTTGTCTAGAAGATCTTTTAGTTGGTTTACTTTGCGCTTGTGTACCTCGTCCAGTTTATGGTATCCAAATAAGGATTCAGCTATCTCTTTAGTTGGGTTGATTGAGCTTATTACTGTCACTTTTTCCTGTGGGGAAAAATCCACACTAGTTTTGGTCTACAGGTACAGTACTAGCAGAAAGCAATTACTACATTTACTGCTTTTGTAGGGTGACAAGTTTGGCTGCGTCCAAAGATAAGGGCTGCAAGACTTCAAATTTCCAGCTG